GGAACTCAGATCTGCCCGCCTCCGTGTGAAACTTCACTTTAGAGATGTGATGGAAAGGCTGCATAAACCCAGGCTTCAGCTTTTACAATATGATAATGCTTTTTAAAATTCCGCCATATGCTTCTTCATCGCTGGATGTTGAAAATGTAGACATTCCTTGCACATTTGATGGCACTACACTCTTTTCTCTTCTTATTCTTGAAGGAAATGGCTTGAAAATTTGAAAAACAAATGGCAAAGTCATGATGACCTTAATCCATAACAAAAATATCAGCTTATTAGCAAATTTTCAGTGTAAAAATAGGCTTCATTTTAAGAGTGAGCGCTCAAACCAAAGTTGAATCCAAGAATCAGAATTGGCCAAATGTCTGTATCTCTGTCTACCTATAATACTAAAATCATGCTAGTGTTTTACCACCATCTGAATGAAGAGAATTATGTAAAATGGAATTCATACCTTCTCATCCACCTTTAAAATTCACCTGAGGGTCTGTGCTGCACTTGACCTCTTTCAGTTCATGACAAGCAAAGCCATGTTTTTTTCAAGAATTGAAAAGCCCAAGACATCTTAAAAATTTTTTTGATAGAGGGAAGACTTTTCAAAAGCAGGAGAGGGATTTCTCYCATAGCACAAGGTCCYTSTCTGTCTTGTTTTYCTTTTYTCACAAGCTGTCAGTGTTTTGCAAGTTATTTTTGCTCTGAGTCGTGGTGAAGTGCTCTCCCCAGTGATATGTGCCAGTTTTTGCAACTCCTTTCTTTTTATTAAGCAGCTCCCACAGTGGAAACAGTCTACACAAACCAGCAAATTAGGTCATGGGCTGAAATGAAAATGAGCATTTATAAAAAGTGTCAGAATTTGAATGGTGTTCAGATTGTGGTTTTATTACTTGTTTGCTATCGTGCTTCAGGGAAAGCTTAACTCTGATAATTTTTATCTAAATATTACAATTTCTGCAGTTTCTAAGGGGTTTTGTGATTGTTGTTTTTCCAGGCTATGCTTTTAATTTTTTTTTTATTTCTTCTAAACTTCCCTTTTCCCATGTGTTGAAAGATCTCTGTTACATGGTCTGATGGGCACACAAGCGAATATGAAGCTGAGTGGTTGAAGAAAAGATGCTTCTCTGAAGAAGCCAGAGCTGTAATGCGGCAAGATTTATTTTTACCAGGTAGGAGTTAAATCCACATCTGCCATGCCTGTGTCAAGTGCAGGGATTTGACACTCACAGTCCTGTGCACATGCAACAGGGACCCGTGGTTATTTTTCCCTCTTCTGCCTTCTGTGTCTGACAGAAGTACAACTTTTTGGGTTGCATTTACTTTCCTAAAAGCCTTTTTTTTTTCAGAAAGTGTTCGTTGGTCTCACAAACAAGCCATGGACCAGCAGTGGTCTGTGGCTATGCAAGTGTGTGTGTGTGCTGTTTAAACTATTTAATTTTTTTTCTAAAAAGAAAGATTATTTACAATTGCAAGGGAGTTACAACTGAAATATTTTTTTCCMTTTTCATGGCCTTCTTGTTAAAAAGTAACTGTGTAGCACAGCAGCGTGTGGTGCTGAAGTTCAGGTTGTGTTTGCTTTGCTTTCCCAGACATGTTTTAGTGGTAGACTGTCTTTTGATCACGACGTATTTTGTGCAACTGTCTTTGCAACATTTACTCTGTACAAATCACTTACACTTTTAAGTGAATAATTATAAACCCACTAGGTTTGGCATGATGCACATMATCATTCCTTTGACAGCCTTTCAGACTGAGCATGAAAGTGTGAAAGCTTTTAAGATGTCTGAGATTGCTCTTGACRGTGTTCCTGCGAGATCTGCTGGTGCAGAAAACTGTGCATCTGTATTCAGTGTTAAAATACTACATTATTTTATGTTTTTTTAATTAATAAGATGTTATTTTTATAGTCTAAAATTAAAATTATGAGTAATATTTCCATTCATTTCAGTGGATGCTCCAAAKGACTCTTCACAGTTCAGAATGGAACTTTCTCCCCCCAGTAAAATAGAAGTTTATATTGACTTTTAATTTTGGCAAAAAATAAACTGTTGTGGTTTTACTGTTTTGAAGGGTTTGGCATTTTTCCAGAGTGAATGTGGTGAAGATTCACCTCGTTCAGGGAAACTAGGCTTGATTTTTCAGGTAGTAAGGAATTTTATTTGTAAAAATGAATATGCTGTGGAATATAGTAGGATGTTTTGTAGCCTTGGAAGGGATTAACGTAAATTGAATATTGTTGTTATTAACACCCAGGCAAAATAATCTAGATCTCTAGTTGTGTCCATTGGCCAACTCAGTGTTAATAACTGAGATTTCAGTATTTCAGATGTAATGCTGCTTTTTTCACCTATTATGAAGCCTCAGTTGGCTGTGATTTGCCTTTACATGCATGCACATTCCAAATTCTTACTCTTGGCATCTAAACACAGTGCAAGTTTTGGAAACCATTTCTCTCCTCTGCTGCTACTCTTCTCCATTGGAGCAATCCAGGTAAAAATATACACCAAAAATCTGTTTCRTTCCTCAGGCAATGCTTTTTCAAATTCTGTTTCACGTGGTAGAATGGAAGAAATTATGCAAATAAAAACTAAACTAATTAACTGGATTTTTAATGGTGTCATTCACCTCTCCCTCATCCTCAGACAAGCCCTGGCTCCTTATAATTGACACCTTTTTGCAGTTTTTTGCATATTTTCCCACATTTCAGCTGCAAAAACAGGCTGCAGCCTGTGAGTTTGCATGCTGCTGTTTCAGATGTTTCTCAGTGTGTACCAAGGTAAGTTTAGAGCTTGCTTCCTTGTGCTCAGTGGAGCTGCACACTGTGAATTACACACTCTTAAGTAGCTAAACATCCCAGAAGTGTCGTGTTACACACAATGATACAAAATGCCAGCCCTGCATGCTGGTTCAGCAAAGAGAAAAGCAGGCTCACCAGACTGCTGCAGTTAMAGGTTAACCTTTGCAGCCGTGGCTATTTTTTTTTTCTTTTGCGAGTGGTTTTTAGTGCTGCCTTTTTGAAAAAAGAAAAAGAAGTTTTTCCATCGTAGTTTCTGGTTCAAGATACTTAGATGTCAGGCACTGTGTCAAGCCCAAAAAGAAGAGTAGGTCAGATTTTCATTGAGTGATGAAGTGACTATAAATAGCTCTGTGGCAGTATGTCAGGATTTTCCTCCTAAAACATTGCCAGTTCCTATCCATGCAAATGTGAAAAATCTGCTGTTTGTGTATATCAAGGCACATTTCAGCCCAGCTTACGAGATGTTCCAAAGGAACAGTTAAAGAGCAATAACCTTAGGTTATATTAAGGTTTCAACATCAGTTTAAAGGTTTGAGATGATAGTGGTCCTTTAAAATGTGATATGATATTGGATATCAGCTCCACAAAAGTTTGATTCAGGATGTTAACAACATCTGTGCTGTTTTCAATTTCTCTGCTAGGTCCTGAGAGATGATAATTTTAAGAGGATGAAGTTAAAAGTAATTTTTTACTTTAAAATTTTGGTCGTTTGACTTTATCCTGCAGTAATAACTAATGAGAGCTTAATGACTTGAGTCAGGCTGCCATATACATAACCCACAATACAGCAAAAATACACTTGGCTTTCAACAAACATCAAAATACATGCTGTAGACAAATAMTTTTTAAAAATTGCTGTAGACAAATAAATTTAAATGAATTATAGACTTTCTTGTATGACTACATAAGGTTTTGGTCAGCACTGTCCCATCCTGTGTAGTAAATGCTGGATAATTCCAAGTGTTTGTTGGTGCATGCACTCCATCTGCAGGGACTGRGCAAAGGGCATCTTCTCATTTTATGCAAACTCTAATGTAGTTATGACTAACCTGGCATGATCAAGAAATGGGATTTTTGTTTTCTCTTCCTTTTTCCCCCCAAATTACTGTTCTGAAATTATGGAAGGAGGCACTCATTCTTTCCAAAATGCTTCAGTCTTCCCATTTTGAAAAGCACATAAATCTAGGGGTTTAGTAGTCATAAATTATCGATAAAGACACAAAATAATTTTACAAGACTTGTTTTTATCCCATGGAAGTTGTTTAGTGACATATCCAACAATGTGATCTTCAGGGCTCCTTCCAACCCAAACYATTCTGTGATTCTATAYCTTSTGRTAAGCACCAGTATAAATACAAGGGAGAAAACCATTACCAGTGGTGCTTTCTAGCAAGACAGATTAATAAAAATGGTATTTTGACCTAAGATTCATTTTCACTGGAAACCTGTAGCAGTATAAACAGAAAAATAAATACACACATTTCTTTGCACTTAGCAAAAATATTCCTTTCAACTTGTCCTCTCATTCAACTTCTGACCTAAAATTTTGATACTGCCGTGTCTTGCTAAATTTCACAGTGAGTTTGCTCGTGATCCATGCAAACTCAGGAACCCTTTTTTGTGGTTTGCAGGACTGAGGGCATATTCACAAATCCATAGAAATCCCACTAACTCCATGCCTTGACTGTGCCCTGAGTTTTGATGCTGGAACAGCTAAGGAGTTGTTTCTCTWTTTCTTCCCTTTCAGAACAGCAGCACTGGGGCTCAGACCTTCAGCTTCCCAAAATACCTTTCGAAGAAATCTTGTGCAATGATGAAAGTGCTTACAAGTGGTTGTGCACCCTGAAGAAAGTAGGAATTGTTCTGCTGACAGGAGCTGCAGCCAAGCAGGGAGAATTGATTAGACTTGGCCAAAGGATTGGGTTCCTGCGTCTCACGTTTTATGGGTGAGTTTGTTTTATAGAATCTTTGTTTTGCCAGTGTTGTAATCACCTCTGAAGCAGAAATTCATTTATTACTGGCATCCAGTTCTGGGGTGGTTTTTACAATTGTAATAAAATAATAACTTTGGGTAATTTCCCTGCTATTTCACTCAGAGCCAAATGCACTGAGGCCTACAAAACATTATAAATAAAAAGATGAACTTGGAATTGGCAAACTTAGCAAATAAAACATTACCTCAMCTGGGCCCTGAATTCTAAACTGAAATGTAACAGCAATGAATATCACTCTGACACATGAAAGAAAGAAGCCTTTTTTTTTTGTCTAAATGTCTGCTTGGTGCGAGCTCCTAAAATGTCATTACTGTAAAAAATTGGAATATCCTCTGTATCAGCCAGAACATCAAGAGTTCCCATGGTTTTAAATAAACCTTTTTCTTTCTGTTGGGGAGGCCCAATCCCATTAATGATGTCTCCAGTCATGTCACCTTTAGTTTCTCCAGCTCTTATGCCCTCGACCTTGTGTTGCTCCTCTGTTTAAAGCCTTGTCCAGTGCTTTGTGTGGTGTGAAGGCCAATTTTTGGGGCTCCAGCACTGCCATGAAAACAGTTGATCCATCAGCATCTCCTAGAGGGCTTCAGCAGCAAGAAAAGCACATGGGTCATGATTATATAGTCACGATTCCATCAAGTGTTATCACTCCAGCAATTTTATATRTTTCATATAAACGGGACAATTAAAATGTGTGAAATTGTTTTAGAGCCATCAAGTGACACCTTAGCCTATTCATTTAAATGAGAAAACCTATCTGCCTTCAGCACTAATGACAAGAATGATGTAAGGGGCTATTTTTTGGTTGTCAGACTGGGAACTRTGGAAGTGTGGTTGAAATTATCATAGTTGAATACTGAGGTCATGTTCTGATGAATATGTGCTGTTACTCACATCATGTACTGATGAATATGTGCCATACCAAAAAAAAAGCTATTTCTCCCAGGCAGTTGAACACRTTTGCAAATATTCAAGGGGGATTTCCCTCTGGCAGTTGCAGAAGTTTAGTTTTAGCATTTTGCATAGTTTCTATACTAAACACCACTCCTAGGACAAAAGCATTTGTAAATAATTTTATCTGCACGTTCTTTAGACTCTTCTTTTTAAACTGTTCATTAAGAAGTCAAGCTAGGCCCACAACATCTGAAACATATTTGGTCTATAGGATTCCACAAGGGAAAATGAGTTTCATCATTTCTTTYAAATCACTTATGTGCCTGCAATTATATGGACTCTGTATGGTAAATTACCCTTTTCCAGACAAATGTCTGGATCTGTAACATGCATCTGCTGAGGACTGTCTTCAATCAAAAAACAAAACCTRTGGTTCTTGGTCTTAAATTCTCCTGCATGGTGTGTAACCCAAAACACTTTTAGTCTGTGCAGCAATGTGAGGTATTGAAGTTTTTGTCATATAGCTGTGACTTATTTTTTCACTGCAGTTGTCAGAAAACTTTTTTCCTGAATTTTGCCAAATTCCAAGACAGAAACTACGCAATAAAATAAACAGAGCTAATTCTCAAAAAGAGTGTCATAGAAAGAGAAGTTTCAGAGTCTTTCATGGAGACATTTTCCTCCAGTAGCAAGTCTTCAACTTACAGGAAGGCTCACCCTGTAAATGAGACTCAATATTTTCTAAGACTATAAAGCTTTAAAAATAACTTCTGGGGAAAGTAGCATGGCCTTTAACAAGTCTGTATTTCATTGATAACGTGCTCCATGTGGCAGAGGGAAAGTGGAAGGTTGATGAAAAGAAATGGGTCAGTTCCCAGTGGCTTATTTCTGAATSCTCAGTACTGAGATGATGATTTCTCCTGGCAGAAGCCTCTTGGTGAGGATTTTCAGCACTCAGCAAAGTGCCACCACTGGAAAGCCATCATTCTCCTAGATGCTCCCCTGGTGCCAGATGTCCCTTGCCACACTGAAGTTTATCTAGGACTGCTGAAATGAGCCTCTTTTKGGATGGAGGCACACTGCTAAATCCTTATTTCCTGATAATGTTACAATATTTYSRTGTTCAAARWCAGAATGACTYTTGTACRYTGATTTCAYAGTTTCAGTGTGTACTGGCTGGCCTTCTGGCTGGCTGTTCTAACATGTTTTCCCTTTTCCTTTTCATTCTAAAGACCAACTTGGCAAGTGCAAGACAAAGCAGATGCTAACAATGTGGCTTACACAAGTGGGAGACTCTGTTTYCACACTGATTATCCTGTTCTGCAGCATCCACCTGGGGTAAGTTGGATCCACTGACGTTTTCACCCCACAAAAGGTGAAAAGGAAATGTCCCTATGGTGTGAAATATGGTTAGTGATCAGTGGCTCTGAATTTTGTCTTAAAAGAGCAATGTGAAAATAATTACATATTAATATTCATGTGACAATCTGTGTACACATGGGTATGCAATTTATACAGTATCATGTAAATTCAGCGTAATAATTCTCCTGTACACCCCATAATTTTTACATTAAATTCAAGAAGTATTGAAATATTACCATATGAGAAAACTTTAGGRTCCTTTACATGCTTTGAATACTGTTCTCATTATTTCACAGAAGTTAGGTGTCTAAATGCTATAGTCAGGTTGTCACATGTTAGGATTCATCTGTTCAGCTCTGGAGGGGAACAGAGAAAGAAATGTGATTAAGATGGTATATTTTGTTTTCTGTGAATTGATTCAAGATAAACACTTGTTACCCTTTTATAACAGACAAAAAAGCAGGACCATTCTGCAAAACTGGATAACTACAGAAAATATATTTTCACCCAGTCCCTGCTGTATCAAAGTATAATTCACATAATTCCAGACAACTGGAAAATAGTAGGAATAGGTACAAAGGAACACAGATGACYCTGGAAAAGTTTGCACCTATAAAACTTGCCCTTCTCTTTGCATGCAGTACTCTGTTGTTTCTGTACTTAAACAAAAAGCCAATATGATTTACCCATAGGAAAGCACCAAACACTTCACAATAAGATTATCTTTTCATCATTTGGGTACTGGTGATTGATGTGGAGTAAGAATGGAACAGGGCTTCATTAATAGAGAGCAGATGTGAATTAGYTCACTGTCCTGTCTGTGCCAAAGCTCACACTCTGCTATGAAACATCCAAAAAAGACCATAATCTTTTTCATTCAAACGTGCTTGGAAGAAATAAAAGCACGAATGTACATTGAAATGGTTTTGAGGATTGTCCTGAATGTGCAGTTTTCTTTATATATCCAGTTATTACACAACATTTGATTTTGAATTCTTGAGTCGTGTTTATTACAAATATTTAAAGACATGCTCTTAAAGGGTGACGATTAATTTCAGAACCGTCCCATAAAAATTGGTTTAGGATTTCCCAGGACCACAGCATAACTTACACTGCTGCAGCCCACCTTGGCACAAGGCCTGCTGTGGCCACAAAAGAAAAGAACTTATTGCCTTGTGCTTCCTTCAGTGAGCCCTTTGCCCTGCCCACAGCTTCAGTTTCCCCCTTCATCATCATCAGCAAGGTCTGCAGGTCCAGCTGGTAAAGTGAACCAACCCTGTTCCAKTCCTCTTTCCCATCCTGAGGTTTTTTTTGTTTGGATTGAGTTTTTGATTGCTTAGCTGCCTTTTTTTGTTGTTTTGTTGTTTATTTGTTTGAGCTTCTTATGTTTGTGGGGTGGTTTTTATTTGGATTTTTGTTGTTGTTGTTTTGGGGCGTTTTGGGGGTTTTGGGATTATTGTTTGTTTTGGGTTGATTAGTTGTTTGGGTTTTTTGTGGTTTTGTTTTGTTTGTTTGTTTGTTTGCTTTTGGCTATATTGTTGGGGTTTTTTTGTTTGGTTTGGTTATTTTTTCCCCTACTGCTCTCAGCAATAATTCACCATCGTGGAAGGGCCAAGTGACAAAGGTAACACCATTTGGAACAATGAGTGCATTTTGTGTCATTTGCAGATGACCAATTACATTTTTTGTGACATCTTAGAGCCACAGAGGGTTTTACTGCTTGTGCCAGTGGCTCAAATTCACTCCAGTGCAACTTTTCTGATTTTGGTGACAGAATGTTGTGAAGCTGCAGCAAATGAGAGTTCAGTCTGTCACTGGGGAAAAGAAAAAACGAACAAAAAAACACACACACACACACAAAAACCCCAAAAAACCAAACCAAAACAAAAACATAAAAAAAGAACTGCAGATGTGAGAGAACTGATACTAATAAACTGTTAAATAAGCCAGCTAATTATTTTTTTTAAATGAGCTGTTAATTCCTTGCAGGTTCAGTTTCTTCATTGTATAAAGCAAACAGATGAAGGAGGTGAAAGTGAGGTTGTAGATGGATTTCATGTGTGCAACAAGCTGAAGAAACAAAACCCTGAGGCGTTTGRGATCCTGTCCTCTACTGCTGTAGACTACGCTGATGTTGGGGTGGATTATTGTGATTTTGCTGTGCACTGCAAACAAAGGATTATAGAGTGAGTCGTTTCAGCACCACCTAAAAGGAAAATCCCCGTCGTGCTGGGATTATCCGTTGGTAGGAGTAGG